TGGCGACGTTTTCCGTTAGAAAATAAGGGGAAGCGCGCCGCGTTTCTGTGAGATGGCCCAGTTCATATCATCGAGGCGAAACAGGCGCCTATGTTATTTCTGTCATTAGTTATAATTAGAGAACTCTAATCAACCCCCTGCCTGCCCCAGCACTCAGAAGTGAATCTGCAATTTTACTTGCGTTCTTCATTAAAGAGGAGGAAAAAGGGAAAATAGTCGTTCATGAAATCCCCATTTATATCATAGATTTATTTTTGAAGGCTTTTTCTTCAGCGCTGGTATCGCATCTGCAGTTCTCCTTCTGTACCATCTCCAGGAATAATTCTCTCTGTGTATAAATGTATGTAATGCCTAATAAAGAGTAGATATTTCTCAGTCCTCTCTAACAGTAATTATTGGATTTTGGTGCAGAGGTAGAGAAGAAACATTCAGAGAGAAGATAAAGGTCAGTAAGACAACTGCAGGGGGTATTCATTGCATACAATTTCTGGGGCAGAAGGGCAAAATTACTCAAAAAGCTTCAGCATCTCGAGTCTCAGCAATTTCCAACAGATGGTGCTGATGACATAATTACTAATGATTAAGTTTCAACTTTTATTAGCGAAGGCTTTTTAAAGGCACAGCTAAGCAGAGCGAAGCCTGGACTGAGCTCTTCGCCAGGGTCACCGAGATGCCATGACGCTGAATTTCCCTTGCACCCGCCGCACCGCCTGCTTCCCAGGTTTCCAAGCGATGCCACGCAAACAGCAGGCAGGAACTTGTTCCCGTCCACGCTGCGGAAGCCTACGGCGTTTCCTGTCACATCCTCGCAGGCATGTCAGAGGTTTCATAGGAGGCTACATTCAAGAGGGTCACAGAGAACAGAGACAGAGGGACTATTATTCATCCCTTTTGCTCCCTCATATCATTGCTGAAAAAAAAAAAAGTATCATCCATATATGCTATAAAATGAACAAAGACTTCATTTCAGCCAAATGTTTCACTCCTACAACCAAAAGGGCATGCCACTAATAATCACGGAGATCAACATGCCACCAGTGCCTGACTCTTGTGTACTGTCAGGAGCTTGAGGTAAGAGATATAGACAGCTGATCTCAGATACCAAGCTGCGTCTGGATGTGAAAGAAAGGGGAAAAAAAGAGCAAAAAGGTTCTGCTTTGAGAAAACCGACGCAAATTTGGTGACTGCCCGAATCCTGAGTCTGTGAGCAAAACCCGCTAGGCACACCTCCGAGAGGATTGTCCTTGTCTTCCCCAGAAACCCAGCACAGTTTACTCAGAATTTGGTCTCAGCCACAGCTAATCGCTGGTTCTTTAAAACGTATAGGGAAAATGTAATTTAAATTGCATCCTACTTTATAGGGGGAAAAAAAATCTTCCTAAACCAGACTGTAGTAGGCAGAAACCCTGAAGCAGGGTATGACTGGCTCTCGCCGTAAATAACCACGTGTCAAACGTGTGGCCCAAGTGCCGGCTCGAGAACACCCTGAGCACGTGCTGAACTCGAGCGGTAATCAGGCCAACGTTTAATGAGCGCTGGAGTCCCCCGGCTTTCGGGAGCGCTGGAGCACGACTGCAGGAATCTGCTTCTGAAGGGCGGTCAGAAAGCCTTCGCTGAGCCTGGCAGGCCCGTCCCGGTTCCACCAAGACTTCCACGTTCCTGTCTCTGAGAAAGGAGCCCTGCAACAGAGCACGTGCTGAACTCGAGCGGTAATCAGGCCAACGTTTAATGAGCGCTGGAGTCCCCCGGCTTTCGGGAGCGCTGGAGCACGACTGCAGGAATCTGCTTCTGAAGGGCGGTCAGAAAGCCTTCGCTGAGCCTGGCAGGCCCGTCCCGGTTCCACCAAGACTTCCACGTTCCTGTCTCTGAGAAAGGAGCCCTGCAACAGCATAGCGTGGCGACTCTCTCAGAGCCACACTCGCAGAACTCACTCTTTCTTTCTTGATATAAGCCAAATCGAAGAACGAGGCGAACAGACCAACCAACAGGTTCTGGAGATGCAGCTGTCGGGGCTAGCTGACGGGCCCGTCAGTGATGGGGCTGAGCTGCGCAGGTATTCCCTGGGGACTCACAGCCCGGCCCACCGTTCCTCAACGGTCTCTTCCTGCAGAGGTTTAGGCCTTGGGCCCTGAACAGCACAGCTCTACACATCAAAATCACAACGTAATCGGACAACTGTCGGAGGGGTCCTTGTGCACCCATGTCCGCTTGGCACAACGTTAAAAAGAACGCACACGAAGAATCAAATTACTTTTTGCTACAGGAGAAGCACAGGGTTCCCCTGCAGTCACCACAGCAGTTCAGCCCATCGTGCTCGAGGGTGTATCGACCCCCCGGCGCTCCCAGAACCGAGGACGGAGGAGAGGGAGAAGCACTGCATGCTCAGGTCAAAACGGGCTCAGCTCAGGCTCAAGAGAGTACCGAATTAACTACAGTTCTTTCCATGTTTTCTTCCTCCCAGTAACCCACAGAAACTGTCCCACCCTGCAAGGATCCCAGTCTGCTAACATAACTCATGGGAATGGCTCTGTGCCTGAGAAACCCTGGTTCTGCGGTGCAGAGCGCGGGGTCCGTCTGCCTAGCCGAGGAGATGTCGCACCCAGGGCTGCACGGAGCGTGGTGAGTGGAGCTTGCAGAGCGCAGACCGCTTTCCAGTGACGTACTCCTCTCCGCAGCAGTCAGTACCCGCAGACACCTCTGCCTGCGCCTCTGCTGCTGGCACGGCCTGGCTGCATCCCAGCAGCCGCCTCGGGACACAGTCGTGCAGACTGCCAGATCCAGCCAGGCTGTGCAAGTAATCGCCTCCTGTCTCAGCCCTGCTTCATGCAGTGGTCAGGTCTAAGTGGGTTATAGACCACGAGCATGAGCAGCTAGCATGTTCCAGTTAACTCATCACAGTTTCCCATACCAGCATTTTCCAGCAAAATTAAGAATAAAAATAGTTGACAAACTGTGCTCATGACAGAGCTTCAAGCACATTTACCTGCAAATTAAAACCACAAGCTGAGCTGGAAAGGCCTCAGAGTTGCCCTGCGCTGCTGCAGGGACGTGCTTGTCGCTGCTGTCCAGCGCAGGTCAGACATCCGCCCTGAGGGTGCCAGCGCCTGCCCGGCGCGGCGCTTAGCCCCACGCTCTCGGGCGCCCGAGCAGCCCGCCGGGCCGGGGCGGCCTCGCACAGCGGTTCTCGCAGCAGCTGGGGAAAGACACCAGCTTCCCGGCAGAGCGCGTCCTCCGTCTCGTCTCCCTTTCTTCTCTGCGGACGCTGCATGATGGCAGCAGCCTCGTCCCGCCGCACAGCGTGCTGGTTCACCTCTGTCCCGGCTCTGCCGCTTCCCCGTACGTAGAGTCGCATGCTGTTTGCTTAGCTTTAGCCGGAGCCATGGCTCTCCGCCAGCAGCACCAAAAGCCTGCTCTGTCTCCTGGGGAAGGCGCCTCGGGTACGGAGTGCAAGTGGCAGTGGGCAGAAGACGTCTCCTGGAGAAGCCACTGGGCACCGACAAGCATGTTTTTCTAAAGGCACCTGGCAGAACCTGCAACACCAGGCCGAGAAAAATATTTTTAGCCTTGGCCGTCTCTCCCAAATGTCTCCCGCTGCAGGAAATGGAAAGCGTTCCTTCTGCAAAGTTACACAGGAAAAAATGGACTGAGTATTTAGCTCAGTTTCCTACAAGCCAGGCTAAACGGCAACGTACAGCTGCATATGTTCATACGGGCACGATCTCGGCCGCCGCCACGTGAGCAGCCAGTAACCCCTCCGCGATTCCTGACCCAGGAAAGGGATCCGTCTCCCCTAGCGCTAGCGCAAACAGGCGGTCAAATAGGAGAGGGGTGGTCTTGCCGTGCTTACCAATGGAGAGAGCGTGACAAAAGCTGACATCCACCCTCCGAGCGTTCGCGTGAGAGAGACTGCGGAGCCACCTGTGAAAAATCACGCCTAATTAAGGCACACAACAGCGCTGTGTCCAGGCTCCCATGGAGCATCTGCTAAGGGCTGAGCTCTTGCTGTAACTTTAGGTCAGTTATATTAAAAACCTGAGCAGCTGTGACTTACAGATGCATTGGAAACAAGGATTTGGGGAGAATTTTGTGAGTCTTGGCCACGAGCAGCAGCTACTCCTGCTGTGGTTCTTCCACTCGCTACCTGATCTCCAGACAAGAAGGCAAAGCAGCTTCACATGTGGCCTCTGCCTTTGGGTGAGATGACTTCTAGGGGGATGATTAGGAGGCATGAGGGTCTTTCAGCTCTGTCCTGCTCCCTGCTAAGGAAGGGTATGTCCCAGAGGGACACAGTGTCTAACTGATACACAGAACTAGTATCTGTTATAAACTGCATCTTTCTCTGCGTCTCCAGAACAGGGGTTATCTCAGCTCTGAGAGCACGCAGTTGCAACCGCTTGCTGCTGCTGGAACGGGCTCCCCTTCCCGTTGCCAGGGCCATGCAGCTGCCGCCAGCTTCAGCTCCGCGTGGTTCCCACCAGCCAGCAGGTCACTGGTCTCCACTGCTCACGGCTCTCCCAAGCTAACCCAGTCTCCCGCCGCCACTCATGCTCTCTGTTTGGTCCCCAAAGCTGCTCACAGCAGCCTTGCGCCACATCTCCCCCACTTCACCAGCCAGCTCCCGGCCGCACTGGCACAACTCCTGGGAGCAGCAGGAGCAGGCTGTCCCGCGGGATGAGCTGGGGTTACTGGTGCAGGCAGTGCCCGCACTGGCTGGGCGCAATCCCACCTGTCCGAACGCAGCCAGCAGAGCTGGTGCTGGTAGCACCTGGGTACCAGTGGTCCGTCAGCAGCCCCAGACAAGGCCAGGGGATGGACCAAAGCCAGGGTCCAGCCAGGGAACCCAGTCAGGAGCAAAAGAAGATGGGACCAGAGACAGGACTGGAGACAAGTTACAATGACCATTGGAGGGGATCCATCCATCCATCCCACCACGTCCCCACCACAGCCATGCCTCATCTTCCTGCCTC